CATAGCTGTGTTAGGTTTACGAGAACCCCAAATTATCAAAAGCGATTTTAAAATCGAGGAAAAGTTGAATCTATCTTTTTTCACAATCTCTATGCGGTTATGCTCGCGTCGTAGTAGATTTTTAGTTTAGTTTCAAGCCCCAATCATACCAGCACACCTAAATTCTCATTTGCACCCGTTGGGATACCTTGTAGTATTTTTACGCCCTCCCCCTCTCTTCTCTTACATAAATCAATATGTGGATTTAACGAATTTGAAAAATCAACCTTTATCTCCGATTACCTTAATTTCATTCCCCAAAACGCATGAAAGTAAGTGTCTTATTTTGATGCCTAGCTAAATCTATCGCCGCATAATATTTTCGTGCGCGGGTAGGCCCTTAGGCCACCTATAGGGTTAACAAAAAGTTGATGCTAGTATTATACAGTGTGGAGTGAGGTGAAAGTTGCTGGAAGCAGAAATGGTGAGCTCCCTGAGGCTGAGTGCTGGCTTAACCCCAATACTGAGTCCGGGCTTACACGTTGTAGAATCTTTACTGACGTCTCCTAAACTGAATAAGTGTCAGGAACCGGCGTCTATGTGAAAAATTAACGGGGACAATATTAACTTCTCTCTTGGTGAACATGCCTCGTATTTGCCATGCTCAAGGCCGTGAATTACGTTTGTGGAAAATAGGTGGAAAAGAAAGAGTTTACGTAGAACGGAAATGTAAGTCTGGAAAAAGTTATGTTGGACTATTTGGCTAGAGAAGGCTAAGGCCCAAGCATTGCTTGGTTGGCGACCAGTTATAGCACTTCCATCTTCGGCCATCGCAGAAACCGTCAGAAGCCGGGTATATATTTCGCTCAGCAATGACTGGGAGGCTTCAAGGGACTGTAATATTTAATTTATTGCAATATTTAATTTCTCTTATCAATTGTATTAAATTAAAATTTTCAAACATGTGGCAACCTCCACAAAAATAGTTTCAGCTGTAAGCTTTCTAAAACCTCCTTCTTTTAACAGCCATATTGTAATATTTGCTTTATCTTATCAATTTACTTAAACTGCAATTCTAAAACAGGTGGCAACTCTCAAATATTTTCTATCTATATTTTAAGTTAGACCAATTTCGATTCTGTCTGATATTGACTTTTTATATACAGAAATTAAGGGCCATTTTATTCTATAAAAGCCAAAAAAAATTTCTCCAAGCAAAGATTAATTGGTAAACATCTAAGAACACCCTTTACGTAGTAGGTATACATTTTGCAACTTCGGTACTTATTCTCCAGGTAGGTTAAGCCAACATCACAATCCTTTTGGCTAAAAGCGAATACTTAAATAATTCATGAGCAACAACCTTAAGCGGTAAAACTGACAAAGGGCGGCGACAATTTCAATGGAAACAAAGCAAACAAAATGGTAATTAAAATTTTAAGTTTGTACGCCCCCAAGGAATAAAATATTAATTCAAAACTTTTTGCATTCTCCTTACGTTTGATTAAACAGTTAATAGAGTGAATTCATTGTTGGTAAATAAAGAGAAAAATGCACAGCATGAATCAATATTTGCGCTTTTAGCGACAGTAAAATATTTAAGTTGAAATGAGTGCTTGTGAGCAGGGGCCAGTAGAGCATTTGATAGCGGTAAAATTTTGTTGCTAAGTTTTCCCGCAAAAAAAAAAGAGTTCATCCTGCAACTTTGCGAAAACAGCTTTGAGGTTTGTATGGTTTCTGTAGCTGTGGCAAGTAAAGTACTCAGTTTGAATAAACATAAAGCAAACATAAATTCGTTGTGGTGTCACAGTGTTAGCGTTGAGAAATAGCGGCAAAAACTTTGCACAAAACAGGGTTGCAAACATACAGAGAAATCGGGTTGCTGCGAGGAGAAGAGTTGCATTTCCTTTAAAAGTTTTAAGTGATGCATTTTTTTGAAGTGAAACTTCTTTAGCGGCGGTTGGTTGGTTGGGAGTAAATTGGCAAATTCAACGGATATTGCACACGGAAATGGTGCAACGGAAATGGTTGGGCTCAAACAAGTGCTTCTTGTGTGTATACATATGGTATTAATTTAACAAAAATTTGCTAATAAAAGGTTAAAGAATAACACTTAGAAAAATACCAATACAAGAATGAAAGTAAAGGTGACTACGTACATAGATAAAGAAAAGGATAATGGCAAAGGTAAAAATAAAAACAAAAACAAAGATGCGTTAAGATAAAGGCAAAAATGAAGACAAAGGTAAATTTAAATACTTTACTTATATATTTAAGGGCAAAGGTGAAGGGGAATATCTAGATGAAGAAAATGATAAAAATAAAAGTAAAGACAAAGAGGAGAATGAAAAGGATGATGAAAGGATATAGAGAGAGACGCAAAGACAACCTGGGAACTATTTTGGGATTTTAGAGTTTTTCGGGATTCTCGGGACATATCAATAAAATAATCGATATTTTTATCGATTTTGTTATCGGTTTTTTTATCGAAATTTTTATCGATACTGCTATCAACTTTGCTTTCGATATTTTTGGAAGTTATCGATATGATGATCGATATTTTTTATCGATTTTGTTATCGATATTTTTATCGATTTGTTATCGATTTTGTAATCGATTTTTTTAGCAATTTTGTTCGCGATATTTTTATCGATTTTGTTTTCAATATTTATCGACTTTTTTATCGATATTTATCGATTTTGTTATAGATTTTGTTATCGATGATATTTATTATCGATGATTGTCGATTTTGTTATCGATATTTATCGATTTTGTTATAGATATTTATCGATTGTGTTATGGATATTTTTACCGATTTTGTTAACGATATTTTTATCGATCTTGTCATGGATATTTTTATAGATATTTTTTCGATGTTGTCATCGATATCTATCGATTTTGTTATCGATATTTTTATCGGTTTTGTTGGATATTTTATTGGATGTTGCTATTGATTTTGTTTCTGTTATTTATATAATTTTATCCGAACTTCGTTAAATATAATTCGCGCCTCTACATACGTTATTGTTTGGCCGAGCTTCTCCTCCGATTTGTGGCGTGCGCCTTGATGTTGTCACACAAAGGGGAGCGACCTACAGTTTTACGCATAAATTCACTCAGGGGTTTGCCATTGCCTGCCGAGGGGCGACCGCTATTAGAAAAAAACTGTTTTGGTTTTTTTATTTGGTGATGTCTGGTTGCACCGGGCTTCAAGCCAGGCCCTTCGGAGTGGTAGCCCACACTGCTAACCACTACACTACATCGGCCGCCATATGAATTGTATAAAACTCTCTACCTTTCTTATCGAATGGGAAAGGAGTTTTGCTTTTGTTTTTGATTTAAAATATTCTTAAAAACGTAACTTTTTGTTATTAAGGTTTTCTTTTCAAAATCTTGAGCTCTCCTTCAAAATAGAGTCATAACAATTAGATATTTATTTAGGAAATTCGTACATTTGTCCTACTACATCAAAAATTGTTGTCTTGGCTTGATTACTTACTCATTTATGTACTTCCGGAAATTTTTGTTAAGTAATTTACAAATAATATACTTGAGCAGTTACGTGAGTACACAAGTAATGACTTCATTTATCTCCAATATCAAAGCTCGTCTAGCATATTTGCCTGTGTATGTATGTACTTCAGATACGTAAACATACAGTGGCGGTTAAAAGTGGATGAATGGTGTTTTGTGTTTAATATGTACAATATTTTTCAAGCTATAATTTGTTTAATATTTTTTTTTTTAAATATGGTTCATGCTTTAACAAAAACCTTATAAATCACACTTTCAAACTTTATACAGAATTTAGAAAAAATCCAAAAATCTTTATCTAAATTTCGAGTTTTTTAACCTGAATTGTTTTAATTTTTTTTGGCTATACAGTTAACAGGATTACAAAAGTTTAGTGAAATTAGTGCAAGGTTTGAGCGCATTGATTTTAAAAATTTTTTTTTTGTTGACGGCGTTTTGAACATTTTTCCATATAAACATGAATTTTTTGTG